TATCTGAACTATCAGCTAGCTGCCTCTGTGCAACACGCCTTAGGTCRCTCTGCTTGGGTGGGAGGGTTGGACAAGATGATCTCTTAAGGTGCCTTCCAATCTTGATGCTTCTGTAATTCTTAGTGTTTTTACACTTGAGCTACCTGTCATCAGGAGACCAGGTGCATCTCCCAGCAGTATCACAGAGCATCTGATGTGCAGACCCACTATTGCCTGCCTGTGGCTCCTAAGCAGAATCTGGAGAACCATGAACACCCCAAAGGTCCTGCACACAGCTACTGCGCTAAGACATGGTTCCCATAGCTCAGCTCCATCTACAGTCTCCGGGGTCTTGTTACAGCACTGAGCCCAGGCCTAGCAGAAATCCATTCATTTGATGTCCTTTCCCAGCTGAGAGGAGGTGACCAGCTTCCAAAGTCTGTTTGATTGCAGGCAAGTAGCTCAAAGGTAGGGAGCCAAGCTCTGCTGACCTGCCCAGACTTGTCGTCCACCTCTGGAGAACGGGAGACTTTGATGAAGATTGATGATCAAGATTATAGAGTTTGCTCATGGACTGTTTCCTTCCTTCTCTAGACCTGTGTCAGAGCATTTGACTTTTAACAGAAGTTGTACTTCAGAAGTCAATCTAATCCTCTGAACGGTGTGACTTAGCAGTTACTGGTCTGGAGAATATATCTTCTGTGAAGAGTCCTCCTCCTGTTCTTCTTCCATCAAAAGCAATGATATTGAATATGTTTCCTTGCAGAGCCGATTGGATGTCTATACAGCCCACTTTCCTGATGGGACATCTGTTAAAAATATGATGCACTGGGCTCAGGTAGGTTCCCTGAAATGTGTAAATGCATGTGCTTCTCCCCTCGGCTGAGCTTTCCACTAACAGCCTTGTGTGTTCAGGATAGATGCGGAAAGTCAATAATCTGGCATKAGCAAAAAGAAAGGAAAGCTAAGAAATTAAGTCTACAGAATACTTATCATGTGCAAGGGAAACTTCCCTGCTCCATGCTGTTTGCTCCTTTCACATTGCACTGAGTTATGCCCACTGGGATGCATTGGTCAGAGCGWGATTAGCAAGACAAGGGAAGGGGAGGTTACACTGGACAGTGTGTCCAGGTTTAGCGTCTCCTCTGCAGGAGGAGCAAACTGCAGCAAGCCCAGTGCAGGGCCACAGCAGTTCTGGAACTGGAGGCCAGGGCACACAGGAAGAGGCTGAAGGAGCTGGGTCGCTTCAGCCAAGAGACAAGAAGGTGACATGAGATCCAAAGTCATGTTCCACTGCCCAAAGGGTTTGCACACATTGGCAGCACCAGATGTTGTTCAGGTTGCTCATGGTAGAAGCTGCAAAGTGAGAGATCCTATTTGTGCATAACAACCCTTCCCCACGCAAGTGGTGCTTCCCCAAGACCTGAGCCTGAAGCAGGGAGGGATCTCCATCTGCAGGAGTTGCCYAGACTCACCCAGACATGGTCTTGGGCAATCTGCTGGAAGTCAAATGTTTGCTCTGTAGAAAAGCCAGGAAAACTGTATTCAGCAAACGTGGGAAGGTGGTACTAGACCTCAAACAACTCAAGCACCCTCTCTGTAATACGGTCCCTCAAGGAGGCTTTGAAACTGCAGACCTGCCTACGAAGTGATGCTCACCAGCCCAGCTGTGTGCCTAACTTGAGATCTATCTTCTGCTTATAGGTGATTAAATCAGGAAACTTCAGAGCTTTTGACTACGGCAGTGGAAACCAAGCCATATACCACCAGGTAGGAGGCCACATATGAGCCCAGAGAAGCAATTCTGATTTCCAGAGGAGGGAGATGGGAACACTGCTCAGGCGGAGGGCCTAGGGGAAGACCCGTAGCCTCTGCATTCACCTCATGAACAGTGTCTCTCTGAAACTGTGTCCGGGCCTACCCAAAGTCCCCTCATGCATGTTGAAGGGACTAGTTGGCTCGCAAGGGTTGATGGCAAACGTGGTTTCTCAGAGATGACCATGCCTCTCCAGGAGACGCCTCCCTCCTACAAGATTGAGGAGATGCCTGTGCCAACTGCCGTGTGGTCAGGGGGCAAGGACTGGACAGCCGACTGGAGGGATGTCAGCTTTCTGCTGCCCCGCATCGCCAACGTTGTTTACTACAGGAACATCACTGACTGGAACCACTGGGACTTCATCTGGGGCATGGATGCTCCTAAGCACCTCTACAGCAAAATTATTGAGCTGATGGAGTTGTTCTGACAAAAGAAAAAACAACTCCTAGGCTTAGTGTGGAATGGGCCACTGCTGGGAGATGCTGGTGGTGACCTGAGCCCTTTTTCACCTCCCAGGGGGTCCCTGCCAGGGACAGCACAAGGAAGCTGTGAGAAGTTCCCCTTCCCCCTGTTTGTCTCCTTAGCGCCTTCATCATGCTGCTCTGAAACTCTTGACATAGCACTTTCTGCTTATCCTTCATCCATGAGGATCTGCTCCTTCTTCCCTGAGAACTTCTCATAGACAACCCTCAAGATATGACTCCCTTAAGGGGCCAGGGAGGCCCCACTGAGTCTGACATCAGTGGGGCAAGGATAAATCTCAGGGGACATGGCTCAACAGGCACCAGGAAGGCTCTCACTACTATTGGTTGGTCCTTGGCGACAGAGATGGGGACATGAGCATCCCTTTCAGCTCCTCACCGACAAGGGGAGCAAAACCTTAAAGCACTTTCCAAGTCCCTCAAGATGCCCCTAGACCCCCAGCCCTTCTTGGGTCCTCTGATGTGGTATGAGCAGCTGCCAGGGGAGCTCCTGGCAAGGCTGGTGGCAGCATCTTAGCTAGCTCTGCCCCAGACCCTAGAACCCGGCTGTGCTGTTTAATCCTGGGGCTTAAGGGGCAGGAGAGATCCCTCGGGATAACGTAATGAGTAAGTTTGGAAGCACTGGGGAATTCCGATGCTTAAGTGGGAGCAGACAACTCCAGATGCCCCGCAGCAGGGGTCATGGGGCTGTTGGTCACGGGCATGTCCAGATGACATGGATTGTGCCTCAGGGCTGCCAAGTCGCTTGTCTGCGGCGGGACTTGTTTTCCTGCTGTTTTGCACAGCCTCTGTTCATGCTCCCGTCCTACTGTTTACTGGAAAACGACAGTGGGAGGGAAAAAAAAAAAAAAGGAACTCTCACCAAAAAAAAAAAAAAAGTTCGAAGGGGATTTTTCTTGCATGGGATCAACTCTTCTGTGGTTTGAGGGGTGTGGGAAACTTTGGGCTTGGAGGGATTAGCCAGGGCACGTGTTTGGGGCCAACACAGGGAAGAGGCCTGCTGAGCAGACAGAAGATGCTGGCCCCAGACAGAAACCCAGCAGAGGAGCAAGCACGAGGTGGTGCTGGTCATGGGAGATGAGCAGGGACCACTCTGCTCCCACAGCCCCAGCAAAGCAGGGCCCTCCCTACCCTGCTCTATGGACCACAACTGCTCGGAAAAGTCTYTGACACGTCCTCACATGGAGCCTGCTTGACTCGCAGACTCTTTTGAGCCCCTTGTCCCTGGTGACTTGCGGGCCCGGGTTCTGGTGGCCAGAGAACCTCCTTCTGCTGCTTCAGGTGCACAGGGTGGTCACGGCTGCTCCTCCAGAGCTATGGGCCAGGCATCTGMACAGCAACAATCCTGTGAGCTTGCAGGAACAGGGAGAGGCCTCCTTCCTGCAAGCTCACAAGCTCCTGTGGCCACTTGGGCTACCTGGAGAGCGAGTGCCAGCCCCAAGGGACAGACCCCCCGTCAGCCTCAACATCCTGGGCTGGCCGGAGCCGCTGCAGGAGGAGAAGGCAGCTGTGGGGGGTGAGGGGCTCATCCTGGCTGGAATTTCCTCCTGGTGGGTTACGCTGCTCCTTTGGCAAAGGCAGAGCGCTGCCGTGCACCCGGAGCGGCAGGCGCGTGCTGGGAGAAACGTCGCCTCGGCCAGCGCAGCAGCGCTGGGCAGGGACGGGAGCACGCGGGGCCAACTCCTCCCGCATCCTGCCGGCAGCTGAACGCATTGCACAATGGCTTTTCCTTCCTTATTAATATTTTCCAGGCAAGTGGGAGGGATTAGGTCGCAGGAGGAGAGGAAAAGCAGTGGCAGAAGGACCTGCCGMCTGGATGCTGAGCTGTACTCTGTGGGTCACGCAGGCCTGGAGGTGCCCTGTGTGCTGGGGATCTAGCTGGGCTCAGCTTCAGCTCTGATTTCAGGGYCTTGGCTTCGCCATAGGGCGGTCCTAATGCAGATGTGCTGGGTCATGCGTGGAGGAGCTAGCTGGGAGCGTGGTTGGGTGCAAAAGCTGAGTGATCCTCAGGGTCTGCAGGGCTGGGGACACCTAAGGGGCCCTGTTCTGGAGCAGGCAGCTTGAGAAAGGATTTGCTGACTTCCAAGACCTGCAGTGGAGCTTCACACACCGTGCTCCTTCTCTACAGATTTGCCACACGGCCTGGGACAAGGAGGACTCTGTGAGGCCCTGATGCASCCCTACCCCAGGCCAGCCTGGGGTTTGCTCCTGCTTGCAAACGTGTGTGAAGCTGGTGGGAGTTGGAGGTTTGTCCCTGGGCCAGCTGGGAAGCTGAGGGATTGCACGTGGGCTTGGCGGGATCCCAGCACATTTCCTGCCCACCTGCATCCTCTGTTTACTCCAGGACTTGGGACCTGGCAGCGTGCCCTTGGCCTCAGTTGGCCTCAAGGCRGAGAGAGGAAGCCCAAGAGGAGCAAGCCCTCCCTGCCCTTGTTTGCTTGAAGTGCCGCCCCACGAGAGCTGGACTTTCATGCCYGAGTGTTCCCTTCACCCTCCCCACCTCCAGGCACTCACGGCTCCATCCTGACCCCRATCAAGCTACAGAGAGGCCGTCACAGATGTCTCTGCCCTAGCCCAGTACCTGCTCCGCACCACTGCTGGGGTACGCTGGGGTGAACTGGAGGCACCAGCGACATGTGCCAATGGAGCCCCAGCAGGCACAACCATCCCCAGCAGAAAYGAGCACTGGCAAAGGGCCGCTGGGGAGCCTCTGTCCTGCAGAGCTTTATTGATGTCCATCACAACTCATAAATCACAGGCAAGCACGGGCGCTGGGGCCGGCCTGGTCGGCCTCTCATCACAGAGCAGTGCAGGGCTACCCGCCTGCGGGACCGCTGCGAGCGACCGGGCACAGACGGGGGGCCCAGCCTGGGGACAGCAGCCAACGGCCCGGGGGCTGCTTGGAGGTCTGACTCGGGTCCCGGCTGCGTGGGGCGAGCTGCCGGGCTCCTCGTCTGCTGCTTGGGGTCCGACAGCCCGTAGAGCCACGCCAGCGGGTCAGCAGCGCTGGGGAGCCCCGGGGAGCTCTGCTGTCCGTTGAACTGGGCTGTGATGTCCTGCAGCGAGGTGGCAGCGGGCTGGCTTCGGTCAGCACTCCGGCTCGCGCTCCCTCTGGCCCGGATGCGGGCAGTCCGGCAGGGGCGCGGGGGCTCGCTGCCCACCGCRCACGGCTGCGCCAGCTGGCTGATGGACCTCACATAGGCGTCCAGCGTCTCCTCCGCCCTGCCAGGGCTGGGGGCCCCGAGCAGGAGCAGCCCCGACCGCATGCTGCGGAACAAGAGGTACACAAGGAGTGAGACGGCACTTTCGAGACGTCCCTCATCCTGGGTCGGGAGAGCCCCCTTCCCTCCCCTTCTGCCTCCCATCTCACAGCCCACGCGAGGCTCTGTCTGACCCCGTCAGAAGACCCACCTTACACCACCCATGCATGCAAAGCAAGSACGGCAGCAGGACCTGCTAGGCACCCAGTCACTGTCAGGCAGCATCATCAGATCCAGCAAAGYGCTTCTAATCCTATGAACCCACCCCAACTGCAGAGGGGGGACGATCCCTGAGCCTTGCTCCTTGCCACTGACCCAGCCTTCATTCGACTTGCAAGATCCACGATCTTTGACTGGGCGGAGGAAAATGCAAAGAGGAAAAAAARAAAGAAAGAAAGCCTGTGCCCTGTGCTGTTCCCAGAGATAAGACACTGGCCTTGGGCTCACCTTGCAGTCAGGAATGGCCTGGATTTTGTTTGCGCAGCTTTTGCTTCTTGCAAAGCAAGAAATCCTCAGAGAAACCCTCTGCTCCTGCTGCTTCTCAAGGCGCTGAGCTGGCCGGCTCCAAGCCTGTCCCCACAGAGGCTGCAGCCGCAGGCTTGGAGCACTCTGCCGTGCACCCGCTCACTGGGATCCTGCCTCCCCGGCGCCTGCATTTATACTTCCTGGCTGCTGTATCCCRCAGGCAGCCGCCTCCAAAAATAGCACGGCCGGGGGAGCACGCACAGCTCCGGAAAGGCCTGGGGAGCACGGAGAGTCCGCAGCGGAAAAACCCCGGCCGCGGCGCGGGAGGGCCCCGCGCAGCGCCCGTGACCGCCCGAGCGCACGTTGTGTCCTTTGGAACCGCTCGGCGCATTGTTGGGGCCTTGGGAAAGGCKGCGGGGCCGGGGGCCGCCGTGGGAGCGCGGCCGAGGCCCGTCCCCATCGCGCGCGTTTTCAATGGGGTTTTGTTTGGCCGCTGGGGAGGCTGTTGTTACAATTGCCTGGGAAAAAAAAAATATATATATATATATATATAAATGTATTTATAGGTCTCTGAGGGAGAGGGGACACCCAGGCCCTGCTCAGCACGGGGCCAAAGGGTTTTGGAAGGCAGCTCCAGGGCCGGCGACAGGGCAGCCCTTGGGGAGCCGGGGCAGGAAGGCGGCCGCTCCGCGGCTCCCCCTTCCCTGCTCCGGCAGGACGGCACTCGCCTCCGCCGGCCTCTTCTTATTTCTCCCGCTCCCCRGCACAGAATCACTGCCGCCTCCCTGCAGCGGGAAGCGGCCGAGCTAAATATACCCGCTCCGGCTTCCTGAAAGCCGGGCAGCCCGAAACGAGCGCGGAGCGGCCCGAGGCGGCCCCCAGGGCAGCGCCAGCGAGGGGGAAGGCACCGCTTCCCGGCGGGAGCTGCCCAAGGGCCGGGGCGCGGGCCGCGTCAGCAGCGCCGCGGGGCGGGCCGGGCCGCGGACCGGGCGCCATGGAGGCGAGCGGCGGCCCGCGGGTGCTGGTGGTGGGCGCGGGGCTGGCGGCGCTGGGGGCGGCGCAGCGGCTCCGCGCCGCCGGGCGCCTGCGCCTGCTGGAGGCCGGGGCCCGTGTCGGCGGCCGCGTCTGCACCCGCCCCTTCGGTACGGGCACCYGCCACTGCCGCCATCGCTGCCGGGAGCCGCGAAAGGGGCTTCCCGGGGACGGTGGACGGATGGGGAAGGAGGATCCGTGCCCTGGGGATCGGGGTCGTGCTGCTGCCAGGGCTTGGGGAKGGAGGGGATGGGGCCGAAGGGGACAGGGCCGAGGGTGGCACCGTGGTGAGGAGGGGACAGGGCCAACGAGGGTGGGAGCTGGTCCCCGTCGGCCGAGCCGTGTGGGTGCTCCCGCTGCTCCGGGAGYGGGCGCGGGGTGACCCTGCTCTGCCACAGGCTCGGGGCTGGCGGAGATGGGCGCRCACTGGATCCACGGGCCCTCGGAGGGCAACGCCGTCTTCCGCCTGGCCTCCCGCTACGGGCTGCTGGGCCCCGGCGCCGCCGACGAGGAGAAGCAGCGCGTGGAGGCCGGCGGGCACCCACTCCTGCCCTCCGTCACCTACGGCAGCTCGGGCAGGGTGCTGAGCCCCGAGGCGGTGAGCGGCGCCCGCGCCCTCTTCTCCGACCTCCTCGAGTCCACGCGCCTCTTCGTGGGCGCCGAGGCGCCGCCGGCGCCCAGCGTGGGCCAGTACGTGCGCGCCGAGATCGCCCGGCTCGCCGCCACCTGGCCGGGCGACGAGGAGAGCCGGCGGCTCCGCCTCGCCGTCCTCAGCGCCTGCCTCAAGCTGGAGTGCTGCATCAGCGGCACCCACAGCATGGACCTGGTGGCGCTGGCGCCCTTCGGGGAGTACACGGCGCTGCCCGGCCTCGACTGCACCTTCCCCGGGTGAGTGTGCGGGCACGGGCGCCGCCGGGCTCGGCGCCGCGGGCGAGCAGCGTGCCCTGCGGGGGAGCAGCCAAGGCGAGGGCGTCCCAGGGGGAAGGACCATCCCCGCATGGAGCCGAGCGCGGCGTCTCCCTCCTCCCGCAGCGGCTACAGCAGCCTCCCCGACCGCATGCTGGCGGGCCTGCCCGAGGGCACCGTGCTGCTCAACAAGGCGGTGAGGACCGTGCGGTGGCAGGGCGCCTTCCGCGAGGACGGGCGCGCGCAGAGGGAGTTCCCCGTGCGGGTGGAGTGCGAGGATGGCGACTCCTTCCTCGCGGACCACGTCATCGTCACTGTCCCGCTGGGTGAGACCGCCGGGCCCCGTTTCTCTCACCACCGCTCGGTCTCCATCCCCCTGGCCTCTTGGACCCTGGCCGTTCCCGTCCTGTGCTGGTGGCCAGCATCGCAGGAGCAGGTTTCTTACCAGCCCAACTGCCTACCCTAGCTCCCCTTCCACACCAAGGGACCAGGGGAAAAGAAAGAGTCTTGGACTTGAGCAAAACTCGGTTTGGAGCCGCCATGCCCTGCCGGGCTGCTCCATCAGCAGACTCTGCCCTCTCTGCTGTCAGAGGCAGGACTAGGGACGCAAGGACGAGGGCGGGCATGAAGAAGCCCTGGGAGTGGGGCTGGATAAGCACACGTGGGAGAGGAGCCCTGAGCTTCTCTCCTCGGCTCACGGGTGCCTCATCTCGCACTTCTCCATCGCAGCCCTGGCCCGAGCGCGGGCTCGGGAAGGGGCGCCGCGACGCCGCGCCAGGYGCCAGGGGCCGCAGTGGATGGAGCYGCRYGGTTTTCTKTCCCTAGGTTTCCTCAAGGAGCGCCACCAGGACTTCTTTCAGCCTCCCCTGCCCGAGCGGAAAGCAGAGGCCATTCGCTGCCTGGGCTTCGGCACCAACAACAAGATCTTCCTGGAGTTCGAGCAGCCGTTCTGGGACCCCGACTATCAGCTCCTCGAAGTGGTGTGGGAGGACGAGTCGCCTCTTGAGGAGCCTAGCACAGACCTGGAGGCCAACTGGTTCAAGAAGCTCATTGGCTTTGTGGTCATCCAGCCACCAGAACAGTATGTGGTCATTTGTTTCAGATGGTTCTTCTATCTATAGCAGTTCTCTACTTTCACCTGGGAGAAGGGCCTCCCTCGCAGCTTGCAGGGCCCAGTAYCTGCCATGCTTGAGGGAGAGGGTTGTCTGTGTGTGTGGCAGAGCAGTGCCTGGGGCTGCAGGTCTTCTGTATCCTGAAGAACCTGGCTGATAGCCCTCAAGCAGAGCCCTATCCCCTGCTTGGCCCTTGTCTGTATGCGGAGGGAGAGCCACCTCCTCAGTGGGAGCTCTCTCTTCCTCCCTAGGTACGGCCACGTCCTCTGTGGCTTCATTGCTGGCAAGGAGGCGGAGTACATGGAGACCCTCAGCGACGCAGAAGTTCTCAGCACCTTGACACGTGTCCTTCGCACGCTGACAGGTACCTCACACGCTGCCGTGTCAGGGCAGGGACGAAGCCTTGCCCCGGCGCTGGGGGAGGCCCGATGGCTCAAAATCCCCTGTGGTGTCACCTGTGTGTCCCTGCGCGGCAGGAAACCCGCAGCTGCCGGCGCCCAAGAACATGCTCAGAACGCGGTGGCACAGCGCTCCCTACACCCGTGGCTCCTACAGCTACGTGGCTGTGGGCAGCTCGGGGGAGGACATCGACGTGCTGGCTCAGCCTCTGCCCGAGGACGGGGCTGACCCCAGGGTAAGCGCTTTGAGCGAGCGCTTGGCTGTGGGAAGTAGCGGCTGTGGCGTGGAAGCCATCAGGGCCCTTTCAACGCCCATCCCATCCCCACTGCTCCAGCGGGCAGGACACACGTAGGGCCACACGCTCAAGGGAAGGAACAGGGCGCTCTAGGATACTGGGGTCAGGATGTGGGGGCAAGTGGAGCAAGGAGATCACCAGGACACTGGGGTCAGGATGTGAGAGCAGGGGGGCAAGGAGATCACATTCTCCTGGTTGCCCTCGGTTTGGAGGTCCCTGGAGGTTGCCAGCCAGCTCCGTGCTTCTCCTTAGCTCTTCCCACTGCGCTCCATGGGGGAAGGGTACCCCATCCCACATGAAATGTAGGGACCCTCGAGTGCGCTGGAGCTGAGCTTTGCCTGAGGTGGGCCATGCCCCGAGACGAGCACCGGATTGTAGAGCTGTGGGGCCCTAGGGGTGACTTCAGCAGGAGTGCTGTGGGCACCCATGGGGCCGGGGCAGATGGGGCGGCGGTGGCCGAGCCCGCGCGCAGCCCCAGCGCCGCCCTCCCGCAGCCGCTGCAGCTCCTCTTCGCCGGCGAGGCCACGCACCGCTCCTTCTACTCCACCACGCACGGCGCGCTGCTCTCGGGCTGGCGCGAGGCCGAGCGCCTCAACGCGCTCTACGGGGCCGCCGAGCCGTCCTGCCCCGCTCCCCGCCTCTGACGCGCGGCCCCAGGCACCACCAGGCACCGCAGACACGCTCAGGGGCAGCACGAATAAAGCCTCGTTTTAGAGACCCGCCTCGGCAGCGCTCCCTTCTCCGCCGGGTCCTGGGGAGACGGGAGCCCACCGGCCCACGCCGCCCACCTCCCGGCCACCCGTGCAGCCTCACGTGCACCCATCCACCCAACGCAGGAGGAGCCGGGACCARGGCACGCGGGAGGCGCCCCCGCTCCACGCGCCGCCACGCCGAACGGGAGCACGTGTTTATTTATTGAGGCGGCAGTCGCGGCAGGCGTCCGCTGAAGCGGCGCCGCTAGTACCAGTTGGTGCTGGCGATCATGTAGCGCACGTCGTCCAGCGGGGCGCCCGCCGGCGGGACGGCCTCCACCGAGGGATGGGCGCCGGGCTCCGTGCGGGGATGGGAGCCGGGTCCTGCCATGGGATGGGC